ATATATATATATATAATTGCACTGTGGCTAGGCTTTGTTGCATCAAAGTAAGCCACTTCTTTTTTGTTTTGTTTTGTTTTTTTTGGTACTTCAACACGAGGCCTGCATCTCTACATCTCCAACCCATTTTTCTATTTTAGATTTTGAGACAGAGTCTAGCTAAGTTGTCCAAGCTTAGCTGGAAATTGCCCTCCTTTTGCCTGCTTCCCAGAGCTATTAAGGTCAGGGCAACCCTTCTGAAATACAAGTTCCTTCCAGGAGAGCAGTTGAGGCCCCATAGCCCTTCTGGAAACACTTGCACATTCTGGCAGGAAAGATGATCCAGGATCAAAAATGGGTCAACTTTATAATTAACCTGTGTTCTTCTCAGTAAAACTGAGAAATAATCAGTACTATGGTAAATACAATTACTTTTATTTAACATCCCCAGAAAATTATACCCAGTGAAGTAAAGTAGCACAATTATTCTCCATCAGAATCTTTAGATTTAAACTATTTAAAGATTTTTTATTGAGGTTATGAAATGCCAAAGTGGTAAGTAGTGTTTTCTTCCATCCTTGGTTTTTGCCGACAGATGGTGTGAGAAGGACCCTCAGTAACATCTGTGCACTGTTTCCTTGCAGCCCAAGAGAGCCCCGAAGGTGCAACCTCGCCCGCCCAACGCACGCCCTGCCAGTGGCTCTGGGGGGGTGACCCCGCGCCCCCGGCTGCTGCCTGCCCTCATGCCCCTGAGCAAGGGGACCTCGGGACACCTGTGGCCGGGGTCCTCTCAGCCTCAGGGCACCCAGCACTCCATGGGGAACTTGGCGACCGAGGACCTGCACGACCCTGTACTTAGTATCCCACCCCACAAAGAGCACAAACCCAAGGCTGTGCTGTGCCCCGCAGAGGCTGAGGGAAATGTGGTGCGAACAGGTGGCGGTGCAGGTACCCAGGGCATGCGGAGGACCAGCGCTTCATCTCTGTTGTCATCCCCGGCCTCTTCAGGGGCTGCAGTACACAGTTCCGGGAACCGTGGTGCACCGGGGAAGCCCCACCAACAGCCCAGGTCATGGAACTCCAAAGCCGACCCTGAGCCTGCTATCCCCAGCCCCAGCTCCCAGGGGAAGAGGCCCGAAATCATCTCCAGAGTAGAGGCGATGACAGACAAGGCCTCCAAAGAGCCTTTGGGCCATGTGAGCAACACTGCAATTGTGGCTTCTCTAGCACGGAGTTTGAGCAGGGCCGGGGTGAAGAGTGTCCATGGCCGGAGCCAGCTGCACCCTCTGGGGCCCACTCAGTGCCCACCACACCCTCGCCTGCAGCTTGAGACCCCAAGTGGCTCTGCCTGGGCACAGCCAGCAGTGCCCTTCCCGGTAAATTAGGCCCTGTCTGCTATGCTGGGAAGGGACACAACAGACTGTGTCTTGTCTCTGACAATAAATAGTCCAGAAATTGTATTTTTTTTCCAGTTTGTAGCCAGTCTGTTTGATGATTAAATTTTTAAATTATTCATTCATTTTTGGTTTGGTTTTGGTAGAGTCAGGATCTCATTATGTAGTTTAAGCTGGCCTTGAACTCTTAAGGATCCTCCTGCTTCAGCCTACTGAGTGCTGGGATTACTGGCCTGTGCCACTACACCCAGCCTACTGATTAAATTTTAAATGTATTGGTCCTAAATTGAGAACTGTAATTTAAAATAGGTAAACAGTTTCTTAAATACTAAACATATTTATTCATGATTTTCCCAAAGTAAGAATTCTTATCTAAGCATCAAATTTTAGTCTTTTAAACATTAATAATAAACACTAGGCTGGCTGTGGTGGTGTATGCCTGTAATCCCAGCATTAGGCAGACTGAGTCAGGAGGATCACTGTGAATCAGAATGCAACCTGGACTACAAAATGAGACACTGTGACAAAAATAATGATAATGATGATGAGCACAACATAGTAGTGCTAGAAGTGAGAATCAGGTTCCAGATTCATTTATCTGGGTTTTTTTGTTTTGTTTTGTTTTGTTTTTATTTTGTTGTTGTTGTTGTTCCGGGCATCAAACTTGGGACCCTGTGCTTGTGAGGCAGGCAGCGGAACCACTAAGCTAAATTCCCGGCTCCTTACAAATTAATTTAAACAGAAATCAAACAATGTTAAAGGGAAGCCCCACCATAACTTAGCCCAAGTTTGTCATCTGGCATGTTCCTGCCCCTCTGGTGACTCACCTCTGCAGGTGTTTTGTGTTCTCCTTTCAGTCTGCCCTTGGCCTGGGAATGAACCGAAACATTGCAGCAGCAGGGAAAAGAGGAGGTAAGGAAGCAGGGGGTCACCTTGGAGACTGGATGAAGCTAATAACCACACATTTATACACTCTGTTGAATCTTCACAGAGAAAGGGAGGAACACATGGTGTGTGCAGAACAAAGGCTCTCCCTAAGCTTTTTCCCAGTTCAGGAAATGATTATGTGAATGGCATGTAGAACGCACATGAAGAATAAAACCAAATCTGAAATTGACAGCTCTTGTCTGGGAGGAGCCCAACCCACCAACTGGGCTGCAGGGTAGGTTGGAGGAGTTGCCCTTGGCAGGTATTTTTAGCATCCTGGTCCAACATCAGTCTCTCTTGGACAGGGATGGCTAAGTCTGGATCAAAGGACAGGCCTCCACAGCACAGGGATGGAGCAGCTCTCAGAGTGTCTTCTACCAGGAGTAGCTCCTCACAGACACGCTGGCTGGTTTGCCCAGGAGGGAAGCAAAGGCTGTCTTCTTCCTTTATGCTTTAATATGAAGCCCCTGATCTGGGCTTTGGCAAAAGGCATAGCACTGATTATTGTAAAACTAGTTGTTGGAACTCTTGAAAGTCTTCAGAGGCTTCCATTGCCAAATACTGAGCTCAGGCCTCCCACACCTCTTCATGGATAAGATGATTGTGTTACAGCTGGATTACTCTCATCACTGTGATTCTGAGCCAGACATTTTTCTTGATTCTCTTCAAGGCTTGGTTTACTTTTATATGGGCTGATTACCCTTAGGTGCAACCAGAAAAGTATTAAGTGTGTCCAAGAAGTCCTTTTCAGTATAAACCTACTAAATCTTAAGAACAGAGTCCTTGTGCAACTTCTCTTGCAGTTTCTCTAAATAGGTTTTAGATAGAAAATGCTACATATTACAATTTTATGGCAGAGACACTACTGCAAAAGAAATATGTTTTGCTTGGTAAGTGTTCGTATTTAGATTTTAAGCCTTTTAATCAAGTTCCCTTTCTTTAACAGGAGAATGTACCCATCACCTCCCACCTGTGAAAGCCCCTCTCCAAGCAAAGAAGAAAACAACAGCAAAACATTGTTTTCTTTGTGGAAAGAAAACAGGACTGGCTACTAGCTACGAATGCAGGCAGGTTGAATGCAGGCAGGTTGGCCAGCTGGAGCGGCTGAGATGCTTTCCTGGCAGTGACCTAGCCTGGGGCTTATGCAAAATAAAGCAATAGGCCTCTTACAACAGCAAGATGATGTTGAAATAGTGGCCCTCAGTTGAATCCCTGATTGATTAAAGAACAAGTAAGGACTGGGGATTTAGCTCAGTGACCTGAGTTCAATCCCTGGTACCAGAATTACAAAAAAAAAAAAAAAAAAAAAAATAAAAAAAAAAAAAAAAAAAAAAAAAAAAAAAAAAAATGGGGGTGGGGGTGGCAGGGATTAGCTCAGTGGCGCTGTACCTGCCTTGCAAGTGCAAGGTCCTGGGTTTGATCCCCAGAACTAAAAAAAAAAAAAGTAGATAACTCATGAGTTTGCAAGAGGCAAAAGCAGATCCTCCACTGTCTGCTAAGCTAGGAGATTTGAGCTAGTGGGAAAATGAAGCTTCTTTGCTCTGTGTTAAATATGTGTGGCTTTTCTTGGAATGTTGCCTTAGAAGAAGGCCTTCTGTGAGATGCTATTGTTTTTACATCGACAAAAACAAACTAAATTGAAAGTTAATTCACTATAAATTTTAACAATTCTAAGGTGCAATTATTTCAAAACAGTTGAATAATACATTTTTTAAAGTAAAGGGTTTTTTCTTCCCATAATTATGTTTTTCATTAGCCTTGACTGATATCTCCAAGAATGGTAAGGCCAGGAATTGAAAATAACTGCTACTTTTTGGAGTATCTTGTATTCAAACAAAATGCCTTACCTAGTAACATTTTTAAAATTCTTTCATGAAGTAGTTATATTTAACATAATTTTTTCATAAGACTGCATTTTTCAGACTTTCATTTAGGTTTACTAGGTGTAGGAGATGTAGTGGACATATATATCAACTTTTGCAGTGTGGCTGCTTCATGTGGCTTCAGTCCATAATGGATTCTTTATTATAAATTGCTGCTTATAGCTTGTTCTTTCAGGGTCTCTGCTTTTGAGAAATTGAAATTGGGGAAGACCCAGAGAGCATCTGCTGGTCCACCTACAGCCAAGCACCCCTCTGAAATGTGCCTATTCACACACCCTCTTTCTGTGCTCTAGATGTGGGAACAACTTCTGCTCATCTCATCGCTATGCAGAGACTCATGGCTGCACCTATGATTACAAGAGTGCAGGGAGGAGGTTCTTACAGGAGGCAAATCCTGTGGTGAAAGCACCAAAACTTCCAAAAATCTAACTCTTCCTTTGCACCCTACTGTCCTGCCCGCGGAATTGTATTATATTGACAGAAGAAAAATAGTTTAGACTGCATTATTTTTGTTCGACTCCAAAAGATTTGCCAAATAACAAAAGCATCTAACGCATACTGTTAAAGGATCAGAATGCTACAGTATTTGACGTCCTTATTTTTTTGGTGGATCAAAAGTTTTAAAAGTAGTTTTTAAAACTTTATACTGTAATGTCTTAGCTTTGTTATTGCATGTCTGTGTTATGTGTCTTATATTTGTTACTGCAGATTTACTCAACACTCTTCAAACATGTACTTTAGGAACTAAATACTCTGTGTCACAGAGCATCCATTTGTATGGCATGTGTGGTTATGTGAAGGCTTTGCCAAAATGAATCACTTTTTATTTTGCCTTTTTTGCGGGAGAGGGGCAGGGTAGGAGGTAATTTTTTTTTTTCAAAATCCCATGTGTGAAAATTTATGGAGTTACTTGTAAGTTCTTTTTATTATTTCAAACTACTTTTTATAAAAAGAACATTTGGGTTTCCAGTGTGGTTTTTAACATACATCTTCTATATTCAGAGTGGCATTTGGATATGTATCCATTTCGTAAAACACATCATGTTAATCAAGTACATGTTTCTTAAAATACTACTTTTTAAAAGGCATTTTTAAAAGTTTTACTTGTTGCCACTAAACAGAGACACCAACTTTCAGTTTTCAAAAAATGGCTACAGGGCTGGGGATTTAGCTCAGTGGTTCAGTGGCCTGCCTTGCAAACGTAAAGACCCGAGTTCAACCCAGTACCATCACACACACACAAAAAAATCAAAAAATGGCTACATTTAAAGCAGAACTTTACAGCATGGTTTGTGTTTTGTATGATTGAGTGCTATTACCAGGAGAAATGCCAAAAAAACAAAACAAAACAAAACAAAACTCAATTTCACTGAGTTTGATTATTTACAATAAATTTTCTTTCATAAAGTTTCTTGTGTAAAACTTTTGAATGAAATAAATAATTCATTCTGCTTGCACAAATGACTATCAGTATAAAAGTCTTCAAGACTCAGGGACCTTTCCTGGGGTGAACTGGGACCATGCAAGAAAACATGTGCTTTACATACATAAAATATAAAGGACTCAGTTACATGGATAGAATGCTGAGAGATGAACTAAAGCATAATTAATTCTCTAAGTCAGTTATTTTATGTCTTGTTTTAAGTTTTACCAAAGACTTTGGTTAAAGTCTTTCACTACTTGGTCACTGAGAGGTGAACCACTTTACTTCATGAAGTTATTGAGAGGCCTTTCTGTTTGCTTTAGATTCTCATAGAGATGCAATGAAATTCAAACTTGGAGACTTCAGATATATCTTTGCCGTCTAGTAATTAGGAGTGGGCATTGTGTGTAGCCCCTGGTTAAACACCCATTGAATAATTGTTGTGTTGGACAACTTCTCTATGATAACATACAGTGGTTCCTCGGTTCACAAACTCGATTCCATGATTCTGGTTGCAAACCAAGTTGTACAAGAACTGAATCAAATTCAACCGTTAGGTTCATTGTTGACCTTATGAGTAAATTTGATTTGGTTTTCATCCTGTTCAGTTTTCAACTGACCGCAGTCATGGAGAGAATTGAGTTTGTGGACCAAGGTAAAATGCTTTTGTTATTGTTGTTGCTGCTGTTGTTGTTAATTCTATCTCATATTTAGCTTCTGAATTTTTTAAAAAAAGAGTAATGTATCAGATAAGATTCAGTAGAGGAACAAGATTTAATATAAAAATATATATGTTCACACATATATAAAGGACATAACAAAGTAGGCTTGCAGTGGTTGCTTATGGAGTCAGGCTAAATAAATGTAGAATGGCTGTGCACTGGAGAGCTGGAGCACCCAGTGGAAAGTCAAAGGCCCACAGCTCGTTGCTTCTGATGCGAGTCTGTTTCCAAAAGCTGAAGGGTCTGCTGGAAGCTTTAAAGTACTGGAGATGACCCTCCAAAGGTGATAACAAAGACTGGAGCTCCTCCAAAGAAGCAAAAAGTGTAGAGTCCTCTCCCTTTTCATTCCATCCAGGCTACAACCCTGTCGTTGGTGCCACCCACACCCAAGGTGAGTCTTCCCCCCTAGAAGTAGCTTAGAAGTCAACCAGACATGCCCAGCACTGTGCTCCACTAATCCACTAGGCATGTCTTATTCAAGTGGACACCACAATTAACCATCACAGTAAGAATTTGGTTTTAACAACAATAAAAATATATTCTACAGTGGCGACCGCGAGTTGGCCCTGCAGATGGTGGAGGTGGC